CGCCCTCATTGGTCCGCCGCCTCCCGTACGGCGAGCGCGAGGGGCCCGCCCCAGGAGGCAAAGCGTTTCGGGGCGGGGGGGGCGGCGAGCCCCGGGAGGAGTTAGGGCAGCGGCTGCGGAGGGCAGGGAGGTCGGGGAAGCCGAGCGGGGCGGCAGGGCCGGAGCAGCCGAAGCCAGAGAAGCGAAGTTAGGAGGGTTTTGTTTGGCTCGTTTTAGAAGATGGAGCTGGAGGAGGCCAGCGGGAAGAAACCATCGAGAGGCCCGGTTTGCTCTTGCCGGTGCCTCATCTCTAAAACCATTACACCATGTGTAATGTAAGATGTGTGTTTAAGTGGTAATGGGGCGAACGCACGCACAAAACGCCTAGAGGAGCAGATGTGCTGCCGAAGTTACTCCCTTTTATCTTTTCCCCCTGCCAGGACGCTCTTGTTCACATTCCCTCGAACGTTACCAGAACATTGCAGAGCACTTCATGTCCTGGATTTTAATTACTCCTCGCTGCCCCTTCCTTGTGTGCTAATTGCCTAACTATTATGATTCTCTGTGTTAGCATTGCTTGGAAGCCCACATGCTTATCGCACCAAATGCTTTACTCCTCGTCAGATTTCTTCTGCTGAGTTCAACAAGTTTACTAGGTGTATCTACCACGCATAATGCAGATTTTTGCCTATCAAAAATGGAGCCAACGTGTAGAGAACAAGCTTGGAAATACAGGGGAAGAGTATGTAAAAGACAGGGAAAGGCAGGTGGGGTAAACAGGAGGATAAAATAACTACCTCAGCTGCACAACCAAAGTAGTCTGCCTCTCCCCGTCCCTGCACACAGCCTTACACCTTTCCTGCTCCTCTTCCCCCCTCCGTCCCTGCCTGCCTTTCCTCCCAAACCCCACACTTGAGCCAGCCCCGAGTTCGGTTAGAAATCGTGCCTGCAGCCCCTGGAAGAGAAGCGGCGGGTGCACACCCCCTCCTTGGCGCCTGAGGCACCCACAGGCTCAGGCCAGTCAGCGCTGGGCCCCACCGGGCCGCCTTCCTCCCCGCCCGTCCTCCTCGGCTGGGCAGGCACTAGGACGAACGGCGATGAGAGACTGAAGACAACGCTTAGCACGCCGAAGCAAGGGCGATCTAAGTGACGCTGTCCCCCGTATAAAACCTTGGGTTTAGACGGAGGCCGCTAGGATCGGGGCGCATGCGCACTAGCTGCAGAGCGGCTCGCCTCTGCCAGCACCGATCCCGTTTGCGCGCCAAAGGGCCGCGCATGCGTATTGAAATGACGGGGGGGTTCGTCAGACTGCGCATGCGCATGTGAGGGAGCAAGGGTGACGAACGCGGCACTTGCCGCCCCGCCTCCCGGCGGCTCTCTGGGGCGCCGCGCGCTCAGAGCATGCGCACGTAAGGCTCGCCCGGCACCGCGGCGGGAGAGAGGGCCGGAAGGACTCGTGCGGGTTCAACCGTAGGGGCGAAGGGGAGGGGCTCGCGCAGGCGCAACTCAGCCTCTCCTGAGAGTGTTGTGGGGGGGAGCGACGGAGGGCGCCATCTTGGTGGTTGCTGTGCCGGGAACTGCGGGAGCGGGGCTCGGCGCGGAGCCTGTCCTAGTGGCGCGTCCGGTGGGTGGATGGCGTAAGGGAGAGCGCCCGGCTTCCCGGGGCGCTGCGTGTAGCCGAGGGCGCGGGGTTCGTGCCGTGAGCCGGCTCTCGGCAGCCCCAACCCTCGCGGAGCTGCTGCGCGGCAGTTCCCCGGGCCGCGGCCTCCTCATGCCGCCTGGCTGCCCATCACCCTTCCCCCCCGGTGCCTCCCTTCGGCCCTGTCCCGGTGCCGTGGGGAGGCCGGGCCTCTCCGCGGGGTCGGATCACAGGCGGCTTCTGGCGGGACGGAGCGCGTGTGGCGCGGGGCGGCCTCCCCCTCGCCCCGTTCCCCTCGCTCCCTGTTCCCGTCCCGCCGCCCGCGGCCCTGGGCTTCGGCTGCGCCGTCTGTGGTCGGAGCGGTGCGAGGGCCGGTGCGGGCCGGCCCTCGAGCGGCGCGGCTGGCGGCGGGGCGTCCGGCTGGCTCTCTGCAGCCCGGAGCGCTCGGAAGCGGCCCCGTGCTGAAGCCGGCCGTGCCGCTGGCCCGGCTGCAGGGCTCGCTCGCATTTTCCTTCAGCGATGTGAACACTGCCATGAGCAACAGTTTACTTCGATTGTTAAGGCTTATCTTGAAGAAGATTAGAATAAGAAGTCGTTCTCTGATTCACTAGTTATTCTCATATTGGTCCGGTTTTATAGTTGGGGTATTTCTGTGGGTGTTCTTTCTAGTTTGCATGCTCACTGCATGCAGACTGCATGATCTCTCAGCGTTGTGGTAAAAATGCTAGTCTAGTGCAGCTTAGTTTCCTACAATGTTTCCAAGTTGGTTTGGGGGTTTGGGTTTTTTTGTTTGTTTGTTTGTTTTGGTGAAGTTTCAATGGTATCTGGAATTTGCTGAGGCTCTGGAAATATAGGTATAGTACTATAGTTTTCTAGTTAACTCAGTCCAAATTAAAATTTCTTAAAACGGTGTGCATGCTTCTGTGCATTTAAATTGGTGGCATGAAGTTGTCTATCTATCCATTATCTAAATCCTTGCTCTCTGAAGTCCTTGTTCAGTTGAATTGCTCTTAGTTTTGTGTGGCACTTTCATCCCAAAAGTCACTCTTTTTGGTCATTCACTTTAAATGGTTGGATGGCTTGTGTATGCTTTCTGCGAGTGCTTGATTGTTTAATATACAGTCAGTAAAAGATTATTATTTGAACTTGCATTCCTGTTTGTGGACTTCTTAAATACCACATTATGATCTGGAATCACTGTGTCTAGTTTTCACCACTGAAGGTTGTATGTTGTATCCATGGTACATCGTGGAGAACTTGCCGTTTATCACCGAAGAAATACGGAGGAGATCTGTTCTGAATGCTGTTTAAAAATTGGGATAAGAATGCAGAGTTGTGAAATTCAGAAATACTACAGATTAAATACATCATGAAGTAGCAGGGCAGCGGATTTGATTTTTCAAGACACGAAGGTCCTATAAGAAAATTCTGCCCTTGAATTCTCCTTGCTTTTTGGCATTGCCGTCACATCTGTTGAGAAGATACATTATAAAGTGTACTGTGTCTGGCTGGGATGGAGTTAACATTCTTCATAGCAGCCCTTATGGTTCTGTGTTTTGGATTTGTGGCTAAAAGAGTCTTGACAACACATCAGTGTTTTGGCTATGGCTGAACAGCACTTGCACAGTGTCAAGGCTTTCTCTTTTTTCCCCTGCTCTGTTATCCTAGCGAGTATGCTGGGAGTAGGCAAGAAGCTGGGAGGGGACACAGCCGGGACAGCTGACCCAAACTGACCAAAGGGATATTCCATACCATGTAACATCATACTCAGCAACAAAAACTGAGGTAGAGGAAGAAGAAGGGTTTTGGTTTATCTTTTTTTTGGGGGGGTGGGGCTGGACTTTTTATTGGCTTCCATGGTGCTTATTATTCGGAGGCAGGCTGGACATCAGTCAGCCTGTGGGAGGTGGTGAGTGATTTCCTTTGCTTCACTTTTCTTCTCTTCACTGATTAAACTGTCTTTATCTTGACCCACAAGTTTTCTTGACTTTGTTCCTATTTTCTTCCCCATCCTGCTGGTGGGGATGAGGAGTGAACGATCAGCTGTGAGGGTGCTTGGCTGCTGGTTGGGGTCAACCCACCACAATACAGAGAGCAGATGATCTTTAGTGAAGTTACTAAATAGGCAGTTGTTTTCAGTTTGTTGTGTTTACAAAGTGCTGATGTAGAAGTGATGTAGAATCCTTTAGTTACAGAATTTGGGCTTTGCTCTTGTTTTGCTAAACTAAGGTGGAGTGATAGTTACTGTTATCAATAGATAACTTGGCATCAGGATCCTAATGCTTTATGTTTGTTACTGAGCAAAGGGTTTGTACAAGGAATCTTCTCAAACACTTGTCATTGGCATGTTGGGCTTTTTTTAAAGGCATGTAGTCATTTGCTACAGAAGCTTGTGTTTGTTCTGAGAGTACTGTCCTATGTATTGTGTGATGTTAGATAATGTTGAAAATCAGGATATGTTTAAGTCAGTGTATTAAAGTGATTCTTGTTCTTATGTTTGAAAGGCAGTAAACATAGGGAAAATACTGAAGTTTGCTTTCTAAATTGAAGTACTCCCCGAAGTTTCTCCTTGTTGGGTATTTTTGCTCTTTGATTTGATAGTCTTCACTGTGTACATTAAGTGCAGTGTTGAACTGGTGAGTAGCATAGTCTTGTTGTGAACTTTGAAAGCAGGTGGATTTCAGAAGAATGGACACGTCCTGTAATCTTGAGATGGACTTGCGCATCTTTCAAGGACTCAAAAGAATTGAATTGAGAGCTTTTCCCTCGATACTCTGTCAGTCTGTTTCATTTCAACAGTTCAGTGTGGCAGAATTGATGACCAAGTAATCTCATCGTGTTTTCATCATTTCCAGAAGTCAACTTAAATTTTGAATTTCTTTTGCTTCTAAAATGGAAACACAAAGATGCAGTGCATAGCATCTTGGAACATGGAAGGAGTTCTTCATAGTATCCCAAACTGTGGGTTCATTACATGCTTGGCTTTAATATTAGCCACTGCTATGGATGAGCTGCGGCAGTGTAGCACAGTATGTAAAGCGAAGTATGGATATCAGCCATTAATTATGTTTCGTTTTCTTTCCACAGTTAAGTTGATTTTACAGAATTTATCAGGTCTTCAAAGCAGAAACAGGTAAGCTGCCAAAAGCTTAACACTTCTCACTGAGTATTGTGACAAGATCATACACAGCATTTTTTTCTCACAGACTTGTGGCTGGGAACTAGGATATGCTCTCCTGAGTGCATGTGGCTGCTGCAGTTAATACTCTGACTACATGAAAGAGACAACATTTTTGAACGCTGAGAAAACATACGTTATTGAACAGAACTGATCACTGGGTAGAGCAACTTGTCAAAGCAGTAAAGTCATCACTGTTGGTGAATTAGTTCATTTTCCAGTGACATAGTTATCCTTTTTCCTTTCTCCTTTATCATCTAGTATTTTCTGTGTTACGATCACAAGTGTCCTGTTCAAAAGTAAACGGGATTTTTTTTTGTTCCTTAGGACTGGGCAGAGATCTCTGGCATACAGTAACTATGCCGTGAAAGACTTTAGGTGTTCTTTAGGTATCGTGGATGGTGAGGAGTGACTTAGGTGGATTTTGTTGCCCTTAGGATAGGGAATATTGATAGACTTGTGCATGTGTGCTGGTGGAGTAGCTAATTGTTCTGACTAATCAACTTTCAGTGAATCTTGTTTTAATCTTGTTCTTGTGAACTTGTGGGTTTTTTGATACCTTCTCTCTTGATTGAGATAAGGACATTCATTAAAAAGGCTCTAGCTTCTTAAGTGTTAAGATACTGTAATAGCTGAGTACTAAAGACGTGCTATCATGTGTACCTTTTTGTCTGCAGGTGATTTTTGCTGTGGGTTGAGCTCAGCATGGCTGTAGTCATCCGTTTACAGGGGCTTCCTGTTGTTGCGGGTCCTGCAGATATTCGTCGTTTCTTCTTGGGATTGAATATTCCTGATGGAGGTGTGCATATTATTGGAGGAGAGATTGGGGAGGCTTTTATTATATTTGCAACAGACGAAGATGCACGGCGTGCCATGAGCTGTTCAGGAGGGTTTATCAAGGACTCGCGCATAGAGCTTTTTCTCAGCAGCAAGGCAGAAATGCAGAATACCATAGAAATGAGCCGGAAACGATTTGACCGTGGGGGACGAGAAACTATGTCAGGCTCTAGAAGAACAGGTACTAATGGCTCTGGCGCATCGGGTGTTGGAGACATTCCACATTTAGTCACGGCTTTTCCAAAAGGAATAAATAAACCTGGTTATGGTCCACCAAATCATCCGGAGGCTGGTTTCCATACCAACGGCACAAGACATGGTGATATAGGTATACCTAAATCAAGCTATCAGTCAAGAAAGGATTCTCATCTGTTTAACCCAGATGATCTTTACTTATTTCTACGTGGTATACCCTACTCTGCAACAGAAGATGAAGTACGTGCTTTCCTTTCTGGGATACACGTGGATGGAGTGATTCTGATAAAGCATCGCAATGGTTTAAACAATGGTGATTGCTTGGTAAAATTTGCTACTCCTGGTGATGCCTTAGAAGCACTTAAACGTCATAGACAATACATGGGTCAGAGGTTTATAGAAATTAGCCCAACTACAGAGGAACGGTGGATTGAATATGGTGGGAGGGTAGACATTCCAAATGAAATCGATCACTTTTTGTGTGAAGACCATTCTCCAAGAAGTTCAGGCTACATGCATTCAAGGAAGCATTCTCATTCAAGATCACCAAGGAGACAAAGAACACGTTCTCGTTCATCTCCCAACCAGGAATATTACATACATTTAAGAAATCTATCTACTAATCTGGAGAAGAGAGATTTGAGAGCTTTTTTTCCTGATCTGGATATATGCAGCAAACAAATCAAGCTTCTAACAGATAAGCATCAGAGGAGGACTAGAGATGCCTTTGTGATGTTAAGGAGTGAGCGAGATTATCAGGCTGCTTTGGAATGTCATAGAAAGGTTCTTCTCAATCGTCCTGTTTACATTTTTCCAATTTCAAGAAAGTCAATGTTGAAAATAATTGATTCTTGTGAGAGGAAAAGATCACAAGACAGAGATCATCCTGGACAGGCCATACCAGAAAAAAGTTATCGGGAAGGTCATTCCGGCCCTAAGACGTGTGTTTATGTAAGGAATTTCCCATTTGATGTGTCAAAAATCGAAGTGCAAAAGTTCTTTGCGAGATTTGATATAGATGAGGATGATATTTACTTGCTCTATGATGACAAAGGACTTGGGCTGGGAGAAGCATTAGTGAAGTTTAAATCTGAAGAGCAAGCCATGAAAGCAGAAAATTTAAATCGTCGAAGATTCTTGGGAACGGAGGTATTAATAAGACTTATATCTGAAGAGCAGATGCAGAAGTTTGGTGTAACTGTACCATTGTCTGCACCAAATGAAATGCAGGGTCATTCACATCCATATGACAGAGGTGAGCTTTCCCGTCCAGTTGGTTCACCATCTGGGCCACCACAGGGGCCACCCATGCATTCATTTGGTCCCCCTGGGAACTTTAGGCATCCTTCTGAATTTAGGCACCCCCCTGAGGACTTCATGTGCCCTCCTAAGGATTTTAGAGGTCCACCACCCCTGATGGATTTTGGTGGTGACAATGAACCTTTTGGCAGAATGGAGTTTGGGAATAATAAAATGGGAAGTTTTCCTGAAGGAAGATTTATGCCAGATCCAAATTTCAGTGGTGGTTCTGAACGTGTTGTTCCTATTCGATTAAAAAATTTACCTTTTAAAGCTACTCCTAATGAGATTCTGGATTTTTTCTATGGCTACAGAGTGATACCAGAGTCAGTTTCTGTACAGTACAACGAACAAGGATTACCTTCAGGTGATGCCATCGTTGCTATGACAAACTATGAGGAAGCTATGGCTGCTATTAATGAACTGAATGATAGGCCAATTGGTCCACGGAAAGTTAAGTTGAGCTTGCTGTGAAGGAGGAAAAGATGCTCTAGAATAAAACATTCTAGATTTGACAGTATTGACAGTTATTTTCACTTTTTTAATTACTGGAAGATGCAGAAGAAACGGTTTCCATCAACGGTTGTAAATAATACCTAGTTCAGTTGTTTAGCTCTTGGTTGAAATATCTGTATGGTTAAGATACGAGAACTGTATTGTGCCTACTTCTTGTGGCAGAGAAGAGCCCAGAAATTCTGGAGGACATTGAATGTCTTGCATCGAGGTATAAAGGCATGGAGTTGTAATGCTTTGGGTTTTTTTTTTAGTTTGCTTTAATTCCATGTCCTATGACTTTGCATCAAATAAAATGTAAGTGCTGGTTGACTGACCACCTAAACGGTTCAAATAGAACTTCAGTGCTACCTGCATTAGTAAATAACACTTCTTACTGAGGTTAGCTTAATAAAATTAGAAAATGACTGATTTTTTTTTTTTTTTTTTGTGTAAACTGTTCAGGTTTTGTTCAGTTTCATGTGTTTGCAGGTATTCCTATTAAAAGAAGAAAAAAGAGCTTCCTGTTCACATTAGCTGGCTTTGCAACTTTTTTAAAATAAAAAATAAATTGTCATCAAATGTGTGTCTTATATTTAAAACTTGAATAGTTAATGATCTCAACTATTATGCTCAGCATACATGGGTCTTCAGAATGATGCTGGCTGCTTCCTCTGGAAAGAGTGAACTATTACAGTTCGTCAACACAGCAATGAATAGGTAGTGTACAAAGACTGCAAAATCTGTATTAATCAGTTAGATAGGCTTTCTTGTTCTCCTTGCTTACTGTAGTACCTTGAGGCAGAAAATGAATGCTGGAATTAGATCAAGAATTCTGACTTCAGCCTGAGCTTTCGGAGTGGTCTTTGTTTTATCTCCATATGCTCGTAATATGAATATTAAGTTGCTAATGATGTCTGGATGTATTCCAGGGTCAATCTCTGATTAGTTTTAACTAACATCTGTCACTGGCAACCAAGCTGACAACCAGCTATGTTGTCTTCTTATGTAAGAAAATAAATGCTTCTGTCAGTATTTAGAATGCTTTGATTGGTTTGGTACCAGCATATTTAAATTTTAGGAAGAAATAAAAACTAGCCTGTTTGAGGAAGAACTGCAGCTTCAAAATTCAGGCTCAGCAGGAAACAGGTTGTGTGGGTAAGGACTTTGTTGACATTGCAACTGTACAAGATGGTACTGGAATACTGAAGAATTGTAGGAAGTTTTAGTCCCCTCTCAAACTAAAACAACAAAGTTGCAACTTGGCTGTAGAAACTTGTAACCTTTGCTTTGGCAATACCAAAAAATCATGGATTCATAGAAGGGACCTGGAGGTCTCTACTTAAACCCCCTTCTCAAAGTAGCATCAACGAGAACAGGTTATTCAAGGCCTTGTTCATTGGATTTTTAATAGCTCTAAGGATAGAGAGTCCACAGCCTCTCTGGGCAGCCTGTTCCCAGTGACTGGTCACCCTCACTGGTGGTCAAACCTTAATTACTTTGTTTACGTAGTCATCATCATTACTAAACTTCCATGTAAACTCTTAAGTAGAAGCGAACAAAATCAAGGGAAACTTTTTTTATTCTATAATTTTTAAAAGGCTAGTGTAGCTTTATTTCTTCTGCATATTATTTGTCCTCTGTTTTAAGTGCTAGGAAAAAAGCCTTTTGAATAAGAATGATAATGCCAAGTTTGTATGTATAGATTCCTCAGAGCAAAGAAACTTCAATGTGGACAAATTTTCAAATTCTGAACACTTAGATACCTTTTTTTTTGCTCTCTGGTAAGAATTAGCTTCAGAAGCGTACTGTTGAATCCTCTGCTGAATTTAAATGGAATTACACCCAACAAATTAGTGCTTTTATTTCACAGCTGCTATAAAAGTGATCAAGGAGGCAGACGACTTTGCAGGGAAAATAAAGATGTGTTATGAGAATCTTCAAAATAAACTTGTCTGACCTAATCATGCTTTTGAAAACTTCATCGTGATTATTTTTGTAAGCTAACATCATCTTTACTACTAATTTTTGCCTCTGTGTTATCAGCTGTGTTGTAAATGTGAATGCAACTAACTTCTCCAGTTAATCAGCTTTAGATGATTTGTTGGTTTTACAGTTCTAGCTACTACACAACAGGAGATTTCAAACACTGAAAATAAATTGGTAAACTTTTTACTATGCTTCTAGAGTAGTGTTGTACAAACACATGAATTGTAATGAAAAAAAGGATTTGGAAGCTGGAAAGGGGAGTTTAGTAGATTTTTTTGCTGGCTAAGTGTGATACTGTCTTTTAGAAAAAGCATTATCCGTTCTCAAGAAAGTTAGAGTAATTCCTGATAAGAGACCATTAGTTTTTGGGATGGTACATTTTGCCCCTTACTGAATAAATAAATAGTAAAGAGTTATAAAGCTTATAATGGCAGAGGTCATAATTAAGGCGTTTCAAAATGTTTTTTGTTTGCCCTGTAGCTAATTTGTCTAATTTAAAGCCAGATTAGAGTTTATGACTGCTCTAGGTTAATCTGAAATATCTGATTGATAGGCCAAAAAAGTGGTTTTTTTTTTAAAGTCTATAAAGACAAAAGCTGTACTTTAAAGTATGCACAGATGATCTGAAGCACAGGGAAATTGGGAAGGGATGCCAGTACATCAGTTAAATAAGAAGAAGGTTAATAGGACAGTTGATTCACAGTTGATAGCTGTTACCTTGTTAGTACATTCTGGTTGGTGTTTTGCTTTTTCCTCCCAGCTGGGATGTAGATGTGTACATACAGGTATTATATTCTGAGTCTGCCTGAATAGGTGGTACAGGTGCATGGTGTGATGACAGCATTTACTAATAGGGTTTTATAACTTGAGATGTTTAACGGTTTGGAGGTACTGTACTTTCCGTATAAAGGACAAATCAGAGACAGTCTGTAATTACATGGCTTGAATTATTGCTCTTCCTTTTTAAGCACCATCCATATAGTAAAAGAATAACAAATGACATGCTGCAGTTTGAGGTGCTGATATAAAATACAGCTAATTTCCTTAATTATGCTTACTCTGAAGTTGCTTGTGCTACCATTGTCCAAAAATTATGATTTAAAGGAGAATAGTCTCTGTTATCAAAAACTAGTAATAGTGATCACATACAGAAGCAGCTTGAGGCATTTAGGAACGCTGTGATGTACGACAATCTGATGAGTACAAGAAGATAATCCTTAGTCCCAAAAGGATGGGCCAGCATGTTCAATGGAGTGGCAAAATACTCTTATAGCAAGAATGGATACAAGCCCGCATCATCTAGGCATCAGTAGTCAAAAATTCATATGAGCAAATGGAGTACTGTCAGTCTTGCAGTAAGCACTTAATGCCATGCGAAAAATCTTTGCAAAAGTATCTTTAGGTAGTATTTAATTCCATAATTACACTCTAAATTCTTCTGGCTTTAAAATACTTTTAAGCAGTGACTTTCATGTATAGTTTTGAGGTCACGCAATTTCTGTCCAACATGCAAACTTAAGACATCATATATGCAGGACAAAGTTGCCCAACACCATATTTCTCCCTTCTTATAATTTTTTCTGTAATTCCTAAAGTTGACTTTTTTGTGCGGTAGGGGAGGAGAAGGAATTTGAAGCTGCTGAGGAAAAAAAAAATTCTCTTTCTGTACCCTAGCTACTGATCTCCTAGTGGGAATTAATCTAAACATTGCTTCCTTTTTTTATTCAGAATTCCTTTTTCAAGACATAGTACAGAAATAATCGCTATTGCATATATGTGCATTATATGAAAACCTGCTGTAGTCGTGAAGTTAACCATCTGTTTTGGAGATGGACTACATGACTTCGCTGAATATGAAATGGTAAAGTGATCATCATTAATTCTGATGTTGTGATACAGATATTTATTGAAGTGCCCTATTCACTGAAATAGATGGGAATTAGTTACTTTTTAAGTTTTAGTCATTAGTATTCTACCCCTTGTCAACAGTAGTTCAATGTCAATAGTGTGTTAATTGTGTAAAACTATTTTTCTGGGTTTAAAACGGAACCCTATATTGTCACATTTTCACTTATATTTTCATCACATTAATTTTTGCAAAACCTGTTTTTTTCACCTGTCAAAACAAGTATGCATTGCATACTTTGCATTAGTGGACAAAGGCAGCATCAATATTAAAAATTCACTTTCTGGTTTATTTCCATAACTGAAAGAATATTTGGTTATAACAGGTTTAGATTTATACATGTGTTCTTTCTTTAGCAGATACTAAAGCTGGAGATAAAAAATATGGTAGCAGCTTTCTGGCAGACAAGTGTATGCTATTAAAAAATGAACATGCATAACCACCATCTCCAAAGAGGATAGGAAATTACACTCAAAAAGTGCAATTTCTTGTATGTTTGATGGAATTGGTAACTGAATCAACTGGTTTAGACACATGAAACTTGTGGCATGTCAACTAATATAATAAATGTCAACTATATAAAATATCAACTAGTTTTATTATGAAGGCACTTTTATTTAAAAGCAAAGCAGCATTAAAAGTAAGATACTGGGCTAGGTCCTTATTTGACAACGTTCATTCTGTATGTGTAAAGGAATCAAAAGTCATAGTCAAGCGTGAGGAAAACGAGGATGAAAAAACAATACACCTCACCCTGCCTTCTGCCATCCAAGGTGGGTAACAAAATGAAATTTAACAGGATTGTTGCTGTCATCAGCTTCTTGAGTACAACAGTTACTTTAGGATGTATAAAACCAATTATGATGGGTATAACTAGAGGACTTAGTAAATCCAAGATGTGTAGCTAGAGAATAAGGTAATATACTGGCAAAGTAACAAGCAAAACCTTATGTTCATAATTGCTTGTCAGCTTAGTGCAGGTTTTGGACACTGTTCATCATGTAAGTTTAAGCAAATGTGACTGCAATGTAACATCTATGCAAATATAATACAGGATTCTACTTTAAATATTTCATTTTCTAGCTACTGAAATTGTCCATTTTCAGCAGATTTTGTTCCATTCTTTGAAACTGGTCATTTGTTGTCTGGCACTCTACTATTAGTGCCAATTCTTGCTCCTGTTGGAATTTTAAAAATACAGCCTCAGTGAAGTTTTTGATTAACACACAAAAGCCTTTACATAAAGGGAAATCTTTTTTTTTTTTCCCCCAATCAAAAAAATAAAAAGACTCTTAGAACAGTTTTGTTATCTCACTTCCTTAGTAGCATCTAACTCCTCCTCCTCCTCCTCCTCTTCCTCATCTTCATCTTCCTCCTCCTCTTCTTCGTCTTTTCTTAGCATACTGCTGGAAATCTGCTAAAACAAAAATCCAGCAACAGTAAATCAAGTGTTTGCTCTCCTGAAAGAATTCTCTGTTGGCATTTCCAGTCTAAGTACTTGTAGGTTTTTCATTTAGGGGAGGGGGAGAAATTTTTTATCCCTTAACCCTTCAGCTTCTAGTAACGTGCACTATGCCAACAGAAGGACATATGGCACAGAATATAAATACAGTAATGATTTTTAAAAGCTAAAAAATCCCTGTAGTCCTGAGAACTATTATAGGATAGGGAAAACTATGCATTGATCAAATTAATGTTAAAAAATCAACAGGATGTAAGTCAGTTTTTTTTCTGGGCTGGCTGTTGAGACAGCAGGCTGAAGATGAGTATTAAGGCATAATCTTATCTTGAAGACATCAGACTTCTTCAGTTAAATGAAAAACATGATGCTGCTCTAAGCTGTTTTTGAGAATAAATTAGACAAACTTTACTAGAAGAGTCTTGATTCATATATGAACTTCTTTCCCTGCCCATCAGCACTTGCCCTTCAGAATGATGCTGTAGTCCTTTTTTGGTTCATCAAATGTTAAAAACAAGTGCCAGCTGCCAAGCTTTCATCTCATCTGACACAGTCTGCAATCTATACTTTCTTCTAATGAGGGATTAATCTAATTCCTATTGAAGACAGATTCTTCATAGAAGATGCAACATTTACAATTTAAAGTAGAATATATGTTTTTTTTTCTTTCCCCATGAGAAAAGGAACATTAAAGATAGTTATACAAGTCATCTGGAATGCTTTTGAAAAATGATTTTAGGTTCAGCAGTTCTCTAAGGGCATCTGCAGTGCTAATTTTGGTTGTATTTTCTGAGTTTTCTCACATAAGTGATATAATAAAACTTCAGTATTGAAGACAAAACTTGCCTTTTTTTCTTTTTTTTTTTAAACAGCCCCTATTTTAACAGTCCTTAAATGCTGGTTATTAACTTGACTTCTGAGATTTCATAATTCATACAGCTATGTATGTAACAAAAGTTTTTTGTGTGTGCATAAAGCAAACTGCAATCACTGAACTAATGAAAGCAGAAAAATCCTTAGTCTTGTTGACGCTCACAAAGTACATAATTTAGCTTGAAGCAAATGCTTGCTTACAAATCTCTGAACATAAGAGACAATGGAGTTAATCACTGGATGAAGCTGGGTTAACTTGAGTCTAAATGCCTAAACCAGCAATCTTTCATTCTGTGAAAGAAGAAAAAGACAATGACACTGATTTGTAATTGGAGATTAAGGAGTGCTGCAGATTGAGCTTGTTTACCAAGGTAGCTTCATTTCAATGGATAGGCTAATTTTCCAAGTTTTTTCTAGTTAAGAGCATCTGAAATTCTTAAGCAGAACTTCAATCATATTTCTGAACAAAAGCTCCCCCTTCCCCTTTCCTGAAATAAGAGGTGCTATTTTCACTTTAGGGCTTTTTTCTGCTCACTACTCAAGTACCTCTGACCATGCTGTAATTAACTAAATAGTAAATTAAATATTATCATTGGTGGCGGTGAGGTGGTGGCAAGATGGCTAACCTAAGAACCAAACTGGATCAGTCAGGAAAGTGAGAAAGGAAATTAGGCAGTTTAAATCCATGTTACTTTGCCATAAAGCTAGAACATACCAGTATTTGAAAATTTAATTTTTGATTACTAATGCTGAAAAAAGAATTTAATTTAAAAAAATTAATGGAATCTGATAATTTGTTGCTCATCATAAACAATTTTATGTGAAAATGAATTTTTTTAAGTTTGCATGTAGGTGATGACTGTCCTTGCTTAAGCTGTTAAGCTGCATGTTTCACTGCATGTGCTACTACAGAAAGCATGGCAATTCTCTCCTCATGTCTCACACAGCGGGCAGTGTTGGAACACCTGGATGCAGACATCTTCAACCATGGTTAAAATGATGCTTTGCTGTCTTAGAAGGCAGGTGCAAAACAGTTGGCTATATTAAATGCATGTGGATAAAACTTGCGTAGTTAAGCTTGATTTAAAATATCTGGAAACGGTCATTCACTTCTGCTATAGTTGTCTGAAGTACAGCATACCAACCTGAATCAGTAAAATGAAATGCTGAAAATAAATTGCCAAGTGAAAAACGAAGGGATTGACAAAGGATTGTCATGAAAACTTAAATGGCCTTTTCAGAACTTGTATAAAACTAAGTATCTGCAATAGTCATGTTTAAAGAAAGCCCTGAACCCCTGAAGAGGTTTTCTCATAATGGGGAGCCATCCTATGAAAAACAGCTTCCCTGGTGCATAGAAGTTTTCTCTCATGATCATAGCAATTGCATAGAAATTAAAAAATGCAAGTAGCCTTGTTGTATTGTCAGTGCAGCTGGGGACATTAATTCTTTCTAGCAGGATTGGCCATGGCTCCTTTTCTTGTGGTTTTATAGTACTGTCTGCTAAATGAAGCCTGGCAAGTAGGATGGAAAAACTAGCATCTCAGTTGCTTCAGCTAGTCCAAGTGCGAGTTGAAAACAACCATGGAAGTCAAGGGGGGAAAGAGTTAGTTGCAAGACAAAAGCATTAAGATGGACACAAAAATATCAGTGGTCTTTGCAAATTCCTGCTTTTGATAATTTAGCATACAGTACTCCTTCCAGAGTCCTCACTCCAGCAGTAAGTGACAGGACACACTTAGATTATCATGTTGCTTCACAAAGCAACATGACACTTAGATTACAACATAATATCACGTTAAGGCACCAGAACTTGAAAAGAAGGTAGCTCTTTGTGAAAAAATGAAGCAAGCTCAAGGAGTACTTTAGTTTTTTTAATATGGAAATAATACAGAAAGGTAGTCCACAGAACCAGAAATAAATTCAAGGATGGTATGTGCTAAATCCTCTGAAAGACAAGTATTGTGTTACCAGTGCCATTTATCCCATCTGGTATGCCCTGACTACCCACCCTGCGCCCCCCACCTACAGGTTAGTGTTTGTGTGCCTCCTCTGCGCTGTAGTCTTAGTCTGTGTGATTCAGTGAACTGCTTACCGTATTATTTATATTGCTTTAAATTGCAAATTCCAAAGTACTACATTATGGTCAGTAAATGATCAGTAAATGATTATTATGTAGCATGAAACCAGACTTGTGTAAACTTTGGGAGTGAAAGATTTACAGAAAGGTAAAACAAGTCACCTGAAGGTTTTTCTGAATGCAGCATTTTTTGCTAGTGAGGGGTTTGGTGGGTTCCAGAGATTAGAGCCCTTAGTGTAACTCAAGGTAGCGATCCTGATGCAACATACTATTTGCAGAATCAGAAAGGGCAGCATGGGGGATGTATGGAACAGGATGCCTGCCTCTTCTTCGCTGCCCTATACTGACTGCATTAGTAGGGTGTTCCAGGCCTTTTTTCTGCCATGTGATCCTCCTCTGCAGATACACTGCATAGCCCAGTAAGATGACGTTATTTTGAATGTATTGCAGTTTCCCTCTAGGTCTAGATGACTTCCCATTCTTTTCAGGCATTCCAGTTAGAGGTTATGAGAACATTAACATCTGAAGTTATTGCTAAAAGAGGTCTAGGAGAAGAGTAAGGTAAACTTGGAAGTTAGTCAAAATGGAGTTCTACTCTATCTCTGAGAGAAATCACAGTGTACACACATTGTTTTCTGTTGTTTTTTTTTGTTGGGGTTTTTTTTTTTTTGGAGGGGGGGGGGTGTTTGTTTTTTAAGAGAGTCCAAAACATAGCTATGTGTGGCACCTCAAAGTAATTACAGATGCTTCTATACCTCTGATACAGTTTTACAGCACTGCAGGAAGTTCTCAAGGAAGATAGCAACAGATTTTTGACAGCTTCCTCTGGTCTTCAAAAAAATGAATGGGTAAACATTTTTTGAAGTAGCTTGAATGTGAAATTTGCTTGTTTGATAGGACAGGCAACTTATTCAAAGTCAAGATTGGTCTTCATGCACTTGCATCACTGCGTTCTTTTAACTTTTCAGATGGCACAACTCATACTTTCAACAGAATAACTCAACTAATAATTGATCCTTTCTGTGTTGAGAGCAGAGAAGGGGTAATGGTATGTATGAAGTCAAGAAAACTTTCTGGCATTGCAATATCGATGCATGATTCTATCCAAAGAAGAAAAGTGGGAAATGTACATTTTAGATTTGGCCATCTTTGTCTTTAACCGAAACACTGATAAGAATCATCTTAAGTTACATGATAAGGCTGCAATAAAGAAAAAATAATTTAGCCATTTTGCAATGTCTGGAAGTTTACTGCTGCAAACAAGTGTCAAATATTTTTGCAAGGTAGCTGGTTCAAAAGCAGTGGCACTTTCACTTATTTTTATCATCCTCCTTTTCCTCACCTGCTCAGAATTTTCAGAGTATAAAAGGAAAGGTCTGTTGGTCATGGGTTTGCTCTGCTGCTAGGAGGTATCACTAGTCTGAGTCAGGATCTGGCAGAGAATCCACACTCTAAGATCTGGATACTGAGACTAAGAATATGCGTCATTTAAAGAATGTCAATTCTGTTTCCAGTAAGCTCCTAGACCTTTTTTCTGCGAGATGCCACAGTTTTTTGATGAAAGAAATAATATAGCTGGAAGTGGCTATTTTTCAAAAGGAAACAATGCAGCTTTAAAAGCTGATTCTGTTTTTTCATCAAATAAAAATGATATTTAGAAGCTGCATTGTTAAAAGCTTACTATGATCTTTATGCCCTTCGAAGTGTCTTTACCTCTGTAACTGTCCTGAACTGAGTAAACATAGTGGATCCATGCACATGTACATTAGCTAAGGCTTTACTTAAGACATTCTTTTGATACAGTGATCTAGCATTTAATTTTTCTTTCTTACCTGTACTGTCCTCAATGAAGATTTTAAGGAGCCAGTTCTTTGCAGGGGGGACTTTGAATTTGCACGAACTATGTCTAAGCGAGATTGATAGTCTGGTGGATAAAGTGAGCTCCGAAAAACCTGTTCAAATGAAGAAAGCTGTGACTTGGGTACCATGATACAGCTTGCAAGCTAGCAATCACCAAGACTGAAGCTAACAAAAATGCAGCATTGGACAATTAAACCTGCTCTAGAGATACGCATCAGCTGTAGTTCAATCACTTTTAGCTGAAACAACATCCTTGCTCAACCTGAGACATGTCAACACATTTACACGGTCAAAGTAAACATTCTTCAGAGATCTCAGGGGATTTACAAGAAGAAAACTGCAATGGTTTCCCACCAACATACGTAGCTGAGTTTCATGCTAACCTAGAGGTATGAACCCCAGCAACTCCCTGCAGGCTTTCCAGTTCTTGGGAGAGATAAACTCTTAGCCCCTTCATAAGCAAATCCTTGCTGCCAGTCACAGCTGCATCAGAGAAATTTTCTCTGAAATGTACAGGAGATGTGCAGCCCAAGAAAAATTTGGGAAAACCCTTAGAATACAGGGGAGACTGTAATATCCATTATATTTACAAGTTCCTTCCAATAGCCAAAGAACAAATTACAGACTAACAGGCTGATACTAAAAATAAAGCAGCTGTTCATGCAAGACTTTATTATTAATAAAGTCCAGGAAGATGGTAGAATTATGGTCAGTCAATATTTTTGTGGAAAGTAAATATTATCCAATTAACAGGACATATAAAATGAGATTAGAAATTTGGTTGTGAAAGACAAAGTATTAACTTAAAGGATATTTTTGAAGTCATGCCACATGACATTTCAATTGTGAAGCCAGAATAGTACAAAATTGCCATGGTGTCGTTTAAATGAAGTAAAAATACCAAGTAGTCTCAAATGTGACAAAGAATCCTAATTTTGTATGTCTTGTGCTAACTGAATACTGCCATCCTTGGTCCTGAGCTATGTCATGGAAAAAATAAAATTAGGACTGGTAAGATTTACAAAAAAAGACAGAAAATGATCCAACTTTCTTGACAAGCTGAACACATATACACAACATACATTTCAAAGATAGTAAGTTTAAAGGCCCAACATCCAGAAGAACTGCAAGAATGAATAAAGGACTGAAAAACATGTCTTGGAAAAGAGAGACTATAACTCAAAGAGAACAGAAAGGGTGACTTGAGAGGAAGCTATAAGTGCCATAAGACAAAAAAAGCAATTTGGTAACTAATGTCTCTTAATTCTATAACAGCCTAATGAAAAACAATGACTGAAAGGTGAAAACAAGCAAACAAAACTCAGAACAGAAAGAAGAGAGATATTTTTAATGAAGTAGTTAGTCTTTAGAACATCTTACTAGAGCAGTGTAAGATTTTCTCTCACTGTGCATGTTTACAATGAGGTTCACTGCAGAGGTTTTCTTTAAGAACTATGATTAGCTGAACTTGGAGTGGCAGTTAATTTAGGAAAAGTCTCTTATCCTTATTTTGTGGGAAAGATTAGATAGCCACTGCAGTTCTCCTCTGTTTTTAAAATCTCTGAGTTTATAAACCTGCATGCTCTTGCTGGAAAAGTGCAAAAAAGGGCTCAGTATACTAAGAAGTTTGTTCTGAGAACCTGAAACATGTTGCATTTTCTGCCTGGGACCTGTATAGCCCCAAAGTGTGAAAACTGTTTTTATGTAGTAAGTAAATGGAAAAGCAAATCTTAATCACTCTTACCTCTAAATCTTCATTTTCATCAATATTTTGGATATTTTGGTAGGCAGCAGTATATATCTCTAAAGCTTTCCCATGGAATAACATTTCAATAGTTATAAATTCAGAAAATATGTTCTAAAAGCAAATGAAAACAAAGGTTTTCTTAATGCAGTAAAGTACATTTCCACTTCAAATACAAGAAATTACTGAATTCTGTACTTGGTATTTATACGATACAAATAACTGCATGATACCTAGTACTTTTACGTAGTCGGATCTGAATTTTAGAAATTAAACATAAATGTTGGCTAGGCTGTCACACAGTTTTTATTTCATACTAAATTCCAAGTAAATGCTTTAAAAGCAAAGAGGAGACTCATTAGGAATAAATAAAATGCCATGCTGAAAACTCCCTTGATATTCCTTGATACGTATTTGCAAGATATAGTCAGTGGATTTCCGATGTATTGATGGCAGTCTTTTTAACAAGTTGGGGATAAATTATCTATAAATTCTATACATACCTATAATTTACAGGTAATTATATATTTTATATAATAAAATATTCTTTACATATATATATTAAAAAACAACAATGACAGCTTCAGAACTCACACAATCTTTTTCGTATTACTCTAACATCCAAGTACTGGTTGGTTTGGTTGGGTTTTTCAACCATCTTTCATTCTTTCCTACTTAGTCTGTTTCCTCCCCCCAAATAAAAAAGTATCTCATTTCAGCAATTTTATAATTAAATTTGAGATCACATAATGCAAGTGTTTTTCAGTCACTATAGTCTTTGGGACTTAAGCCACTTTATGTTTGACATTAAGAGAGAAATGAAAGCTTTGATTACTTGCACTCACTGAACATTTTGTGCTTGCTGCATCAGTAAAAGTTTTAACTGCAGTAACCTACACAAATTTCAGCACGGATAAATGTATTATTTACTTATCACTCTTTCTGTTAATTTTGCTGATATTAATCCACATATATCATTCCACTAACAAATGCAGCTACCAGTAAAGTAGAATACAGCAACTGTTGGAAGTGCCGACACTAAACAATCAGATACAGGAAAATTCTGAATTCAATAAACTGTAAGAATAATGAACTGATTTTTTAATTGCATGATATTTGGATTATGAAATATTAATACCACAAGATTTGTATTTATGTAGGCTTAAGTTAATACTAAATGTTGCTAATCTTGCCAGAGTAACTATAGTAACTTTATTATGCAAGATGAAATGTGCTGTCATATACTGAAATGTGAGCACACATACTTTTATGTCCTTTATTTTCTGTTTCTCAAAATTATCAATGGTTTCCTCTAATTGCCGTGTTGTTCGAGTTGCATCCAGTGAAGCTCTGTGCAATTCACTTTCAGCCTGGTAAAGTAACACAAAGGTGAAATTAGTCCTGTATTTGATACAAAGGTATTTACTCTAATTGCCCTGAAAACATTCAAGTTCAGGTTTTCAAGATACTACACATCTGTGTTGCTGTATTTGTAAATTTGTTTGTAGCTTAATAAACAAATAAAGATGCCTTCTACACCATTGTGACTTTGATCTGAAACATGAAAAATGACTAGCTGCAGCCAGTCAGGAAAGTTCCACTGCCCTAATCCACTTTCTGTAATAATCATCCGCTAATTCCACTGAGCCAGCCCTGACACTCCACTGGTGACACAGTGACTGGGTTCAGGGAATTAACCCAGCGCAAGGGTTTACCCTTCAGAAAAGTTAAGATATTTCTTAAGCTGGTGTAAAGGAGAGGGTAGGAGTTCACAGGCCAGAGTGGTGAATGAGCAGAAAAGATCACCCTTTATTTTCAAGCGCAGATCAACCTGCTGAGTCTAGAATGAATCTTTTCCAGTGTTATGCGCTGAACCTCATCTTACTAAGTTTTTATGAATTATTTGAATAGATAATAGAGCAGCAGCTGGAACTAATGCACTTCTCCCATAAGTATCTCAATCAGCAGACTAGAGTTAATACCATTTTTAGATCCAAAAGCATTTCAGGTATTTTATATTTTTAGTATATTTATATTATTAAAATCTTTTATAAAAACCATCTTCAACAGGCACTGGGAAGGCGACACACCAACCAATCCCTACAGTTTTTCTTATTTTGTTACTACAAAAAGCATTTTAGCTATGTATTTTATTAGATATAACTCTGAACTGTATAAAAATGCACACTACCATTTCAATAAAGATATTGATGCTATTCTGGTTAAGTAAAGTCTGAGAACTGTATACTATTACAAATTAATGATGTAAAGATGCAAGAGTTTGCACTTGAAGACTGCAAAATTTGGGTCTAAACTTATTTTCCATACATTACTAGTCAAACGTCATAGACTAGTCAAGACAGTATTTACTTACAGGCTCTGTCAGTGAATATCATCAGGAATCTATTCTGTCCTGGGATTTGGAAATAGTATAAGGATCAAGTAATTGCATCCTACGATCAAGACGTAGGATTCTTCCCATTTCTACAACACTGCAACTTAAGAGAGGAACTTTTTTTTTAAAAATAGAAATAGACACCACAACCCCAGTTCCCATGATCTAGTTTTTAGTGTTGTATGTATATGGAAACCTAAGGCACAAGGCATGTTCTGTCACTTCTTTTTCTTTCATTAAAATCTGGTAACTTTATATTACAGGATTATGAAGTTGAAACAATCTCATTACAAAAACAGCTTAAAGTCATAGACAGAATTCTGCCATTACTGGGCAAACAAAATTGGTAATGATCTTTAGTAGTACGTAAAGTCACATGTTCATCGTGCTTTCTTGATTTTGCCCAAAACGCAGAGGGAAACAGACTAAGAAAAGACATTTTGTGTATTCTCAATTATTACAATCACTCTCTGTAAATGAAGGCAGCTGTTATGCATAAGCAGCCACTACACATGCAAATACAGTATGTTATTTCTATGATAATCAAATATATCTTCTCAATCCATCTTAAATAGACTGGCCAGATTTTGTGCGCAGATGCTTTGGGAAAGGAATTTTGTTTGTTGTGGAATGAAATGTCTAAACTTGCAGAACCTGCATAGTTTGCACAACAGCAGTTTGGTATTTTCTCTTCTGAAACACCTACCTGTGACTGGAAATATTAGTAAAGGAAAAAAATGGCAAAATAACAATCAATATTCATAAAAGTATCTGTTTTCACTTCTACTTTTAATATGTTGTGAAGTATTTACCTCAGCTACTTCAAAACTTATGTATACTTGGAGGGTGCTATTATTATGTTGTCTGAAGCTTCCTGCTCTAAGACATTACTTAGGTTGTTACAGCTTTGCTAGAATTCAAGTATCCAGGCAAAAATATGTCAGGACAGCTGTTTGTCTTGGACTGAGGGTTTTGTTATTTATTTATTAAAAAAAAAAATTTAAAAAAAATCAGACAACATAGGTAGACCCATTTCAGGGGGAAAAAAGAAAAATAAATTCTGATTTTAAAAAATACAATTTTATATTTAAAAAAAATCTGGTAAGGTTTTCACTTCAAAGCTGTACTACCCCCAAGTTTTATAAGATGAACTTGAAATCTGGGAGTGAGTACAGATTCTTTGCTATCTGTGGCCAAAGTTGTTAGCTGCTGAAACATCACAGTTGCTCAAAAATAAGAGAACCACTGCTGGAGCCTAACAGTTATGCTAACGAACATGGTGAAGCCTCTCTCAGACCGAAAAGCTGACCTGCATACATCCTCAAAAGCAAATGAACATATTCTTGCTCCCAATACTTTTTATGCATTTTGTGTTGATCACTTTAAAATGCAAATATGTAGTGTTTGGTGCCTTTGGCCATATGCAAAACCAGACTGAGATTTAATAACTCTTCAGGCAAAGTCTTAAGTACAGAAAACATAGGTGTTACAAGAAGCTAAGCCACAGAAGGATATTACACAGAAGGAGTAGCTTAGCAAGAGACAAGAAGAAACAAGCTAGGTGCCAGCCATATACTGATGAAATCAACTGGGAATTAGCACAAGAGGGAAAAAAATGGGACCAGTTTCCCTTTGGGGAAAATAGCTTACTGTTACCATTTACTCCATTAATTCTAATGGAACACAACTCTGCATCACAGCTCAAGTTCTAACCCTATGGCTCACATCCATATGTCTTTATTACATGAGGAATTCGAATTAGTCATCACTTGATTTAACTGATTTGATTAATATTAAATGGGAATTCTTTGGCAGAGACAAAAATAAAATGTAATTCTCATGGGTGGCATTTGACCATCACAATTTTTGCTCTTTCGGCAGTCCCATGCCCCAATCACTAGAAAGATCCTAATTTCTGAAATAAAGTTGATTAAATCTGACAAAGAATAGGACTGCTTCACTCCTGAGTCCAATGATAGAGTGTAATAAAAAATAAACAGCACATCACCATGAACTTAAAATCTCTATCTTAATACACAGGCATAAGGGGACTGAAGTAGGATTGCCTTGATCCCCTTTAGTTTGGGATTTCCTAGATTCTGATTGCTTCAGAATTTGAAATTTCAATGAGATTTTAATGGAAATTCTGTAGAGGCTTAATTTTTCCCTCTGTGATACTGAATACTATACTGGGGAGGGTCACTGATATTTTGAAAGGAAGAGTAGTCCGGTTGAGTATTCTACTAACAGAAAAACAACTTTCCCTTTCACACTTCATCTCACAGTTGGAGGAAACTCAAACCCCACCTAGGTACAAGGAAGCACAGCAACTACCAAAATGACAGGGAGAAAAACAGTAAAACAAAAAAATCCACAGTCTGATTACACTTATTTTCAAAACCCTCCAAATCCCTAGATGCGATCTATGCCTAGCTCTCTTGCATAAACATATAAAATACTTTGTAGTTTCTTTTCAATCAAAAAGGGAGTAACAAAGCAGCTATTACAAGCTGTAACTCATCATAAAGTTTAAGAAAAGATTCAACATCAACATAGGAAACTGTCCCTCTACAGAGGATTCTTCTCTTATTACTTTCTAAACACAATAGTTTAATTCCCAAGAAATTTTAAGAATATTTCTTATAGCCACTAGAAATACAGGATACAATAATGTGTCGATCTGATGGATTCCGCTGACGTGTCTTTTCCAGTTGAGATAACTGCTTGGCTTCGCGGTTCTTTGCTGTTAAAGTTGCTTTAAGATCATCCTGGAAATAAAATGTTTTAGACATGTTTGAAATAGATCTAGGATAATACTTTTCTTCATACATGCATTGCCTAGAAAAAATGAACAAAGCTTCTGCTTTTAACAAAACCAGATTTTATTGATCTTATCCTGTTAAATGATCCCCTGAAAGAAAAGTCAATGGGGACCAAGAGAGTTAGCACCTTGCACAACTCTCTGTAGCACACACTATAATTTAAAATGTGGGGGAAAAAAAGAAAAATTTACAGCTCTTCATGAAAAGTATTGTAGATGGTCAAAAGCTGAGATCCCCAAAACAGTAAGAAGACAGGCCCATTCTGAGCTTAGCAATGGAACAAAGGTGGCATTTAGAAATAAAAAGTGGCATCAAATAAATCAGTAAGAAAAAAACCAAAACAGGCAGCAGTCAGTATCAATCAGAAGTTATGAAGAACACAAAACTGATTCACAGAACTTAAGGTGCCATAGAAAATCCATCGCTGAAAGTGTTAATTAGTAAGGTATTTTAATATATTTGGAACAAAATACATCCTAGTAATGATGTAGCTGGAGAACATGAAATTTCTTGATCTAGAAAAGGCAGACACTGTTGATAATTATTTTTTGCTCCTCATTTCCAAAGGAGAAGTAGGATGTGCTTCTAGGAAGATCTGTGACAATTTAAGAATGTTTACGTAGCACTCTCAAATTCTTGTTCACGCTATAAAACTCTGTTCTGCAAATAGTTTGGCATTCATGGAATCTAAAATTGTCAGTCAGATATTTATCACTCCATTGACACTGGAGTGGGAAAATGACATTAATTTTGATGGCTCTAATTTAAAGGAGCAGTACCTTAGAACAAGCAGAAATACAGCCCAAGGAACCAGTCTAACAAAATCTGAGGCAGGAGTTGAGCATGCATTTCAAACCATCATTTCCTCTAAAAAGACCAGTCCCATTTATCTACCACTCCAGAACGGAGTGGATTAAAGCTATTAAAAACTATTGCGTCAGGAAGTTGTCTGTGCTCCTTCCTTGCATTTCAGAGTTTTAACTTGGTTGTTGGTCTCCTTCACCCAGAAAGACATGCGACCAAGAATGTCTCTTTCAAAAAGTTCTGTGATCCTGTGACTGGATCACTAATCAATGACAAGCACAAGTATGCCAAATTTCAGAGTGCTGTGTTTCTTCAATTATGAGTCTGTACATGAAGTCAGAATCAAAACACGCAGCTTCTTCCTTGTTTCTATTCTTACTGTTTGTTTCTATGTCCTTGTGTTTATCGCTGTCATTTTGCTTCATCTTTAGGGACACAGAGCTGGTTTCTGATAATAAAAACAACTGCATCTTTAGCTCATCAAAACTAATTTTGCTGCTGTTCTTTCAAAAGGGAATTTACACCACCTTTAAGGCCATCTGAAAGACTGCTGGAAAAGGCTTTCTCCATTATGAAAACCATGCAGCTGCAAGAAAAGTAATAGAAAACAATTTTTTTATTGCTTTACATTCTAAATTTTCATGTTATTTAATGACTGGGCCCTGTTAACAGGACTGACTTTCTAGGTCCATTTAAAACAGTCAATCAGATTTAACGCTGTGGCTGAAAGGGTTCTGACTTTCATGCAAAGTATACCTGAACATGCTAAGGAAACCACTAGAGTTACCATTATAAAATTCACTATTTTCTTTCTAGCACATAGTACTTTGGAAATACCTACAAGGACTGCACTGTTCCCTTCTCTACCTCTGTTCTCTGTAGCAACAACAGCCACCAAACATACTTCTCTGCTAGCCAACGCCTGACAAAGATCTGGTGCTAGCGTGGCTATAGTGGTGGAGCTATATACAAGTTTTGGATGTACAAAGATAGGGCACAGTTACATACATATTGTGTCCAGGATGTTGAAAAACTGAAAAGAGTGCAGAAAAAAACCCATAAAAATATTCAGAAGCTGTGGAAAATTATGGTTAAAGAATTACGGTCTACATTATTAGCTAACTGAAAAGAATGAAAAATTGGTTTTACTAGCATCTAAATACCTTCATCCAGAAAAAAATAGAACATCACAGCTCTCTTTAATCTCAGTGGAACATATAACAAGAACCAAAGATTAGATGGAGTCTTTCATTTAAAACAAAACACCATAAACATCAACTAACCAATAACTACCATAAACAGTCCTACATCCCCCTCCAGTGTCTTCATACCAAGATTTGACATGTTTTTGGAAAATATGCTTTAATTACACCCAAGGAAAAATGAAATGGAATGTAATAGCCAGTGAGATAAAGGACAGGTACAGAGAATATAAAATTATTCATAGTCCCTCTGGATTTAAACTATGAATTCAAGTCACACATAAGAACTCTGGTCAGCCATCTAATTTCAAACCATACAGAAGTACAGCTACAGTCCATCCACCAGACAATGAGCTGGCAGATCCTTATCACTGTACTGTTACCTGCTTTAGTCACTGAAGTTATTAAAGCAAACCCATCCTTTCTTCTGCAGGTGGATCACCTTGGTTTTATGATGTCCTGTTTTATATGAAGGAACCAGGAACAGAGTTGCCAAAAAGCAGAAAAGTAAAGATTGATATATAGAACAATGAAACAGAAAGAAATCCTAAAATCCTACATTTAAGCTGCATTACAGGACAAGAATATTATATTAGCTTCCACTGAAGCTGCTAAATCCTGCCCCAGAGACCTACTCAGCATAGTAAACCCAGACATGTGCATGAAGCAATTTTATTGCATTAGCAGTTAAAGGACAACACTATTCTGATTGACCTAGGCCTCTTTAAAGCATTTATTATCACAGGACATTGCTGTCTTACCCCACAGAATAGTAACAGTTCTTTTTAGATACACGACAAAAATACTTTGTGTACACCCTGGAACAGATCCAGTAAGTAGCAGTGAGAACATCCCCTTTATAAATAGCTCTATAATGACATATTCTGCCTGGTTTTACTTAATCAGCTAATGTAGTCACAGGTAAAGCAGTTCTACAACTAGCACCGTGTGCTAGCTTTACTTGGGTGACAAAACTTCCTTCTTCACTAAAAATGTCCCAGTGTTTAGAGATGATAACTGAAGACCAGACAGTAGAAGTTTTAACCAAGGTTTATGGTGATGGGCAGAGGGAAAAGAAATACAATCATTTAATGGCCTACATCTTTAGTGGAGTCTCTCTTAGTTAACAGGTATGTTGATAAAATAGTTAATTCCATCTACAGTTTAAGAATGCTCTTGTACTCACTGTAGCCAAGATAAATATTATGTAATGCTTTCTGGCATTCTGAAAGGCAAAGATGATAGGAAATGCCATTCACTGTTGCAAGGGATGACCTGCCTTCAGTTGCTTCTGTCCTCAGCATTTACCAGCTATCAGTGGCAACACACCTCAGGACAGTATCTTCAATCCTTCAGAAGCCCCAAGCACTACTGTAGTGCTCTGTGTCTCCTCAACAACGCTATTGCCACAAACACATGAAACTTGTCTTCCACCCTCAACATTTATATCCTGTAGAATACTCAGTCAGTTCCAGGTCTCAGAAACTAGGTTTCAGAGTGACTGTTAAGATACCAAATTCTAGGATACAGGCTCTGAAGTCCACAACTCTGCTAAGGACTACCACACGTAGTACTGCTCAAGTGCAGGATGCATTTCCTTCATAACCCTTTCTCTAACAACCAAGTGAGATAGCTGTGCAGTAAGTTCCAAACACTATAATTGGTTCTTCACCGTATTGAAAAGGTACAAGAACAAAAACATATGAAAAATGCTAGTTTGAGATGCAATGCCACAATGTACTCAAATTAACCATGATGAACACAGTGTAAGATTTTTGTATGTAAAATATCATCAAATAATGATAATTTTGCATTTTCATTTATATAGGTTATGATACAGATATATATATAAATTACAGATTTCAGTTTACAGGATGAAGGTATCCTCTATGTAATATACAAGTATTACGAAGAACTACTTTCGTCCTATAAACTAGTATCCGCTTATTAAAATTTACTTGCTTGAGCTTATTCCTCCTGGAGGAAAGAAATTTACACATATTTTGTGGGAATATTTCAGACCCCTATATACACTGTTTCCAGAATGTAGTGAATGAAGGGACCTCATTTTTTTTTGTGTATCTTCAGGTCATCCTGATGACTTTGCAGGACAGAGAGGGATTTAGGCCACTACCTATTTATCAGTTTCAAAAAGTGCCTTCTACATTATGAACTTCAATGTAGAATGCAATTCTAAGTTAGAAAAGCTGTTAAAGGCAGCATATAGATGACAAAGAGCGAAAAGCATTACATGTAATTCACCTTTTGGAAGTCTGAATAACAACAATGACAGAACAACATTATTTGTAATGAAAAACATCCTGAATTTGCACTATCCAGGAAGTTTCACACTATCCACAATGCTTTTTTTTTAGCATTTGCTTGTGCTCCAGGAGTCTGAATATCCTTGTCTTCACATCAAAGCTTTTCCCTCCAACATATATATATATAGCTTCAGTTCAGATGTATTACTATATAATTTAGCTAGTCTGATTACTGCAATATGAAAAATCAGAACCACTCCCCCCTGTAAAGTAGAAGTTTTCAACTGAGTGGCCAGAACACCAAAATGTTCCTTGTGAGAAACAGGCGTTAAACCTACCCTTTTAAGCTTCACTATGGTCCCATAACTTTTCAGAGGTTCAACAACCTTGGCTTCAAGCCTGTCAACCTACAAAAGAAATCACAAGGTCACTAAAATCATCCACATCTATGGTGTGCAGAAAGAGGAAACAATTCATTTACTAGTGACTCATCTTATTAGGAATTTAGTCCATATATGCTGAAAATATAGTGGGATGGAGGTTTTAAAAATATTGCAAAAACCAGAGGCAATTAAATTAACCAGTAAATAATTTGTATTTTGAGGAGCTCAAGCTGATTTCTCATGGAATTCCTTTTTCTTCATTGGCAATACATCAGGATAAATGAAACATGGAGATTCTAACAACTGAGTACTAAATGCATCAAACACTACATCTTGGAGATCTGTAGCTTTCTACCTAAAGATCAATGTATTTGCTCTACACTTGTTGATAGATTATGGACTAAGCCATCTTTGCTGTCAAACATACTGTATGAAATGCAACACTTCTGTTCTTAAAAATAACGGAAACAGCATCATAGGTATTGAAAATATTAAAAATACCAACAACAGGTTGTGTAAAATGCATGAATGCTCTCATGGATGAGTGCATCTGAATTGTTGTTTCAGTTCTAGTCAGAAAAACAGCTACATATGGTAGACAGGCAATAGGATAAGACCTGCCTGCTTGTCAAAATTGACAATGCTGCCTGAGTGGCCCCAGCATAAGCTGCTGATGACTTTGGACCAGTGAGTCATCTGGCCCATCATTGTTGTGTCCGCATTAGGACAAGGTGCATACCTCTACTAGGAAGGGACAGACATTACACTCCCCTCTAAACTGGCAGTCACCAGTCAGTCAAAATCTATGCCAACTAAGCAAACATGTCTCCTTTACTACACCCTACCAGTGCACTGTCAAACAAGTTCACTTAAACTAATAATAGAATAGAATGTGATAGGGCAGTAAGGCTCTAAATGAAGCACATGATATGGACATACCAAATAACCTGCCCATCTTGCTTTCTTACCCTTCCAGATGTGCAAGTATACCTAACACCTCAGCATTTATGTATCTAGCACTGCAGCTGAAGACCAGGAATCGATAACCCCTAAAAGCTAATTTTCTCTTGCCCACATTGTCAATATATATGAAAACTGTTAATTAACCTGATACCCAAAAGAAATAAAGCTGAGATTATTTATTTGGTTTTCATGAGCAAAGGAGAACTTGATTTAAAGGCTAAAAGCTTATCTTTTCCTTTCCTGCCTCTGCCTTTTCTCCTTCAAAGGGCAGTGGTGGTCTGGGGACAGACACAGTAGGAGAATGATAGGCCAAATGTTAGTTTTTAAAAACACACTTAAAAAAAAAAAATCAAAAGAAGCAAAATCGGGTTGTTAAATAGGCACCTCAAAATTCAGAGTCATAGTTTAAAGGTGAAAACAGACAGAGAGATCATGCAGTCTGAGTTCACATACAACTTTAGCCATAATATAAATTTACCCTATTAACAGAGGGATACATTCCTATTACATCAATTAAAGCATAAGAACCTAGATGTGGCTCAGCTGGAGCCAGATGCATAAGAGCTTATGGAAAAAAAAAACAAAACAAAACAACCCCACACTATCCACACCCTTGGATTTCTTATTACTTCTTAAAAATCTGGCCCTAAATACATTGTTAAAGATCTATGTGTATTCCTTGTTTTTCAAACCCTCTACTTAGTAGACTAGATACCTCATAGATTAATTAAAAGCTTTTCTTTTACTACTTTGTTAATATAGACTACTTGCGATGCTTCTTTAAAAAAAATCCTATCTGAAAACATCAAGAACATCAACTACTTTAGTCTCTTTTCTAAATTATAATGGTTCTTAGCTTTTCAAAACTATAAATGGGAATTTTCTATGCCCTACTGCAAGAATAGATATGTACTCCAAAAACTAGTTTGAGTACATGTGAATGAATTTAATTTTTCTTAAATCTCAGCATTTGGAATTCTGGATCATAAGTTACAGTCTGACTGGCCCTGCACAGAAATGTGTAAGTGGCATAAACACCTTTCTTTACACTCTCATTGATCTAGCAGAAATGTGACTATATTCTCACATGTAGTCCAAATCAAGTTTGTACTTTTAGTGTTGAACTACAGACTTACAAAATCTACAGTGGTCCCTGATAGCACCTCAGAGGGGCTGTCAGTGCCCAGTGAAGCATTCCAGTTAGTATTCTCTTCCATACTGCTTCTGATGACAGACTCAGCAAAAGGAAAATGACTGATTTTACCTCAGCTGCTGCTAGACAATTCAAGTCACAAAACTAAAAGAACACATTATTAACCATAGATTATAATCCAAAGCCTGAGACCAATAAAAGACTTATTCTGTCTCAAATACTGTGAGTGCTCATATGGATAAATTCACTGACTTCAGCAGGACTAACCACAGGCAGTTTTCACTAAAGTTATTAGCAGAGTAAATGATGAATGCTTTGGCACCCTATCCTGCTTTGCCACTAATATATTTAAGTGTCTTTTATGTTTCTCTCCTGACTGCAGAGTGTATCTTTTGCCTTTTAATCACAGATAAGTAACTGCAAAGTTCAGATGGCAAACAAAACATGTACAGCTTCAATTTTGTACCTCTGCCTGGCGATAATCCTGAAGTCTGGAAAATTCATCTGCAAAGTTTTTCAGTCCAACTTTTAAGTTTGGTGTCTCTGTGGCTGCATATGCATATATTTCATTTACTAGAAGATCTGCTTTGTCTCGTAGTCTGGCAGTTTTACGAACATATCCAGCAAATATTTGGCACAATTCACCAAAATGTTTTTCCACATTTGAAACAGCATCTTGTATTTGTCTAGTCTGATTGTCCCTGGATACCAAAGAAAAATAAGTAAAAATAAGAAAGGGGCAAATGTTTACAACACATACAGAAGAAAAACTATATATTATTGATAATTTATACATAATTTAGATGTCTCATTTCAGTGCAAAATGGAAATCTATTCTTAAAAAGATAATGTTGTAACAGTCTGATGTAATATGTGCTTATTTATGAATTAATAACAAAGAAACAAAGCATGATTTATACTTAAAAACAAAGAACAAATAGAGGAAAACCCAAATCACAAAAATCAGCTTGGAAGTCTTCCTCCTGTGGTTAAGCAAAATCTCACTATTACCGTTGGTATTAATTACTAACATAGTGGTAACACCTGCAGGTCTCAAAGAAGACTGGGTCATACAACTTCCTGCAAGAGTCTGCAATCTAAACAGACAAATCAGTGGTTGGAGAAATTAGGCAGTAGAGGGCAAATCTGTAAAGGTATTAAGTGTTCTTTAAATTGTGAACAGGTACCAAACTGCTCCTGGTCAGCACTAGAGGATAAATATCCCTGCGAATTAGAGAAGAAAAGCGAATGGACACAAGTACAGAGATGAAAACTCCAAAAACACAGAAAGGAGATTCATCACACCAACAAATTGTTTTCTTTTAAATTATATTAATTTAATTCATTTTTTTATTTGAACCAAATGCCTCTATGTTTTATTAATGATCTAGGTAAGTCATTCTGAATTTTAATTCATCTATTTCACTTGATATTTTGCTTTCCTATTCCCACATTTGATGGTCTTGCTTTAGTTATGCTTCTGTGATACTATTAAACCAAATCAGTGTCAGTGCATTCATACCAGTTGTTGATCTGAATCAACTACAGGACAATTTAGCTAACAGTAACTGCCAGATACTGGGTCCCAAGAAATCTCCACGGTCTACACGAGGTGGTTCATGTGAAGTGCTGAAATTTTCAGCAAGAGAATTCACTCATACTACTGTCCCGGTGAGAGACAGAAACAAAAACTCTCTTCATATTCTTAAGCTATCCCAACTCCAAATGCTGACCAATATTTAAATATTGACTTAATATCAGGACACATCAGAAAAATTGGAAGAAATTTAATACTTTAAACAACAATGCAGTCAACTCAAATGAAGAACACCTTTCTTCAGGAACTCTTCAGGAAAAATATTTCAGGCCAAAGTTCTGCTACGGGCAAAAACCCAGTTGTGTTGCTTCATGGCAAGCAAGCTAGAAGCCTGTTCAAAAGAGATTTTGTTCAAAGAAAAAAAAAAATCCAAGTAAGTTGTTCAGTCCTCCAGGACATGCTTGAACATAGAACCATTTGAATGGGAAAGGTTTCACCCAGTGAGTGGGAAAGTAAGTCTCATTAAGAATTAATAAAGTTGTTTTTCAAAATTAATATTATCTGATAAAATCTTCAGAAAAAGGTTCATCTTTCCTATTTTATTGAAAGGTCTTCATGTCCGAAAGCATTCCTCTCCGAGGGGGAAGCCTTAAGCACGTTTCCTCACCCACTTCACAATTTTGATCTCACAGTACTCCCATGCAAATAATATTAATTTTGGGACATGAAACACTACATTTCCTTGATGGGGGTGCGAAGAGTTCCTTTTTTTTTCCCCCTCCTAATTATTTGTGACCGCTTAAAGGCGGCCACAAAATCGTCAGCGAGAGGCCCGATTAAATCGGCAAGTCTTTTACTTCATCCCTGCATAGCACACTAAGCCTAGAAAAGTTTTGCGGCCTTTGCCTGAGGAAAACAGAGGCGGATCCCCGACCCCGAGGGAGGTTCGCTGCCGTAAGGGGGACCGGGTCCGCATCGCCCCCCGGCCCCCACGCCGCTCCCCGGGTACCCTGACTGAAACAGGGCCTCCTTCTCTGCCCGGCAAGGCCAGGCGACGCAGCCAGCCGCCGGCCACGCAAGCAAGCCCCCAGGAGCAGCCCTCCGGGGCACGGGCAGAGACCCGCAACGGGCACCGAGGGCCGCCTCCGCCCCTCACCGCACCGTTACCTGGCGTCCAGCCCTCGGCCCAGCAGCATCATGGCGGCGGCGGCCCGGCGGGAAGGAGGGCGGCGCTCCGCGTGCGCTCGGTTTCCATGGTCACCGCCCGCCCCGGCCCC